AATATATATTATTAATTATATTTTAATTATGTTGTTATATCTAATAAAATAAATATATTAATATTTTTTTATATTTTATTTTATTATGTTTATCTTATTAATTTTTATCATTTTATTCCTCTAATTTTAAATAAGTTGCAAAAAATTATAAAGTGATACTTAAATATTTCTTCAAACAGAAAGAGAAAAAGAAAAAATTATTACTCTATTTATAAGACAATTGTATTTTATAAAAATAAGTAATTTTAAAATTTTTACTATAAAAAAATATTTTTCAAAATTATTATATTTTTTAATAAAATTAATAAAGAATATTGGTTTAATTGCATTTTTTATCCCTCAAGTATTACAATTGTGCAGTTTTGATCCACAAAATTTTAATTGGGTAATTTTAGTCCTTAAAGAATTGCAATTTGCGATTTTGGTCCTTCAATTTTTAATTGAACAATTTTAGTCCCTCAAATATCATAATAGTACGATTTTAGTTTCTCCCATTAAAAATTAATAATAAATATATATCATTTGATACATTAAAAAAAATTATAATATACAGTAATTTAAATAAACAAACAATTATATAGTTTTAAAACATTATATATATATATATATTAAAATTTTAAAATTATTAAATTTTTAATGAGAAAGACTAAAATTGCACAATTATGATATTTGAGAGATTAAAATTGTTCAATTAAAAATTGTGAGACTAAAATTACACAACTAAAATCTTTTAAGGACTGAAATTACTCAATTAAAATCTTAGGGATCAAAATTGCATAATTATAATACTTGAGCGATCAAAAACACAATTAAGCAAAGAATATTTTATTCTCAGTTTTGGAACGGGTCGTTCTGAATCCAAAACGGACCGTTCTGAATCCAAAACGGACCGTTCTGAAACCAGAACGGCCCGTTCTGTTTTCGGAACGGCCCGTTCTTCTGCACTGGTGGTGTGTTAATTTTCGCATCTGGAACAGTCCGTTTCAGTTGCAAAATTAACACACGAAGAGTGCAACCAGAACGGCCCGTTCTGGTTTCAGAATGGGTCGTTCTGAAACCAGGTGTTTTCAAAAAAATTGTCATCCACGTGGCATCTACGTGGCATCCACGTATGCATATACGTGGCATCCACGTGCCCAAAAGTTCACTCCGTTTAAATAATTTGGACGGAAGTCCCACATTGAAACCAATTAATTAATTTGGGACTAAATTGAAACCAATTAATTAGTTTAGGACCAAATTGAGACCAAAATTAAAAGTGGGACTACATTGAAACAAAAAAAGATTATAAAGGACTAAAATAGGATTTTAGCCTAAAAGTATGTATTTTAATTGATTTGGAGAAATATGAATATTAATTATGAGAGAGAAATAATATATGACATGTGCTCTAATTGATTAGAAGATATATAAATATTAATTAAAAAAATAGTATAAGAGTTATTTTAGAAAAAAAAAAGATAAATTTATAATTATCAATTAAATTAATTATTTTTAATATAATAAATTAAATAATTAAATATTATATAATATTTTAATACGTGTAATCTATTAATTTAATGACCAACCACTATAAATGATAATATAATATTGATTTTGATTGATAGTGCAATACATTATTAAATTTAGTACTTATTTTTGCCTTTTTTGCCTTTTTTTTTTAAAAAAAAACTTTTGGTGTGAAACGGAGACTTGTGAATTTCTTTGCAATTAAAAAACAGTATTAAATTTATAATTAGTTCCATTATTTGTTTTAATATATTTTAAAATAGTATTATTATTTTAAAAAACGTTTTTAGTTAAAGAATAAACTAAAAAAGGGAAATTTTCAAACTATTTTATTTACCATATTTGGACACTATTTTTTAAAGATAAATAGACGTTGACAAATATTAAGAGTACACTTGAATTAACTTATTTGTATATTAATTTTTAAATTAAAATTGGATCACATACATTTGTACAAAAGTTTTTAAAAAGAAAAGTAACTTATAATTTGAGAATTTTTTTATAAAAAATAACTCAAAAATCTGACAATCTTTTTATTAATATTAATGGAGTCGAGACTCTTCATCCTTATAATAGTTAGACATAAATGGAATATTAAAAGATTGTGTGTAATTATTTAGAGAGAATATGAGATTTTTTTACATATCCAAGTATTCCCTTTATATATTAGTATAGATTCTTTTGAATCTCACCGTTTGTTTTTTGTATGTATTTTATTTTCTTGTATCTTGTTGTAAGTTTAAATTTTTTTGGCTAAAAGCCTAATTTGGTCCCTCATAATAATTAAAAATTTTAATTTGGTCCCACTTTATTTTTTTGTTTTAATTTAGCTCCCAATAATTTAAAAACACATCAATGCGGGACTTCCGTCCAAATTCTATAAACGATATTAAATGTGGACGACGTGGATGCCATGTAGATGCATAAGTGGCAAAGTTTCCTCCTCCTTCTTTAATGCATCTGGAACGGCCCATTCTGAAACCAGAACGGCCCGTTCTGATTGCATTTGGTCGTGTGTTAAATCTGTATCTAGAACGGTCCATTTTAGATGCACAATTAACACATAACGAGTGCAAGTAGAATAGACTGTTCTGATTTCGGAACGGGCCGTTCCAGATGAAAAATTAACACATGACATACATATGAGAACCTTGCCACGTGGAAAATTATTACATTTTTATTTTTTTCCATGTGGAAAATGTCCAAACGGCGTTAAAGAAATTTGGACAGAAGTCTAATATTACAGTAATTTAAATTATTATGGACTAAATTGAAACAAAAAATTAAAGTGAAACTAAATTGAAACTTTAAAATATTATAAAGGACCAAATTAGGTTTTTAGCCAAACTTTTTCTTATTTTTCTTATTTTATTTTTTCATTTTTTAAATGCTAATTAGATTTTTTTTTTTTAAATGATAAGATAGTCTATATATAACTGCGTGGCGTGTCTATTATTTTATTATGTTTTGATGTATATAATAATTTTTTTTGAATATTCTTTAATCTAATTTAATATTATTGAATTTTATTCAGAATAATTTTTTTTATTTCTTTTAAATATTATTCAACAATATATAATAACTTATATATTTTATTATTTATAATATAAATTTAAATTCTCTTAATTAATATTATATATTATTTGCAAATTATCATTAAAATAAAAAAAAAGTTAAGTAACTTTTGACATTTTAAAATTTTATTTTTCAACATTTTATTCTTCAATATTTTTATTATTATTAAAATAATTTTTCGTAATATTTATTTTATAAATATGCTTTTATATGTATTTAAATTTTTTTAAAAGCAAAATACCAAATAACTCATAACTTAGAAGAAAATTTTAAGTGAAAAAAATAAAATTTAACGAATACATATTTTTTAAGTTCTTATTTTTAATTTAAAAGTTACTTTTAAATGATAAAAACATAGAAACATACTCTTAATAATCCGACAGTCAATTTAGATTCACTAATTAATTATCATTTTGGTAACTCCGGTCCTAAGAATATCTTGATATTGATTTCTCCCGATCTTCATAATTATTGTTTCACATTCCTTGCCAGTAATTATTTTCTTCCCAATCAAATAAGATCTCTCAATTTATTTTCTTGAATCATGATAAATTGATAATTATAAAATATGGTTATCGTGAATTCGATATTTTATTTCGACAACTAAGCAAGCGCTTACAGTTTTCGCTTATCACCAATCGATACGATCAAAAGGTTTTTGAAGGTCAACTTTAACAGCATGGACCATGGAGATATCTTCGACTTCCAGGGACAAAATTGCATTCATTTCAAGCAACAAGAATGGGTAGCTACGATATGGCTTGCTTCAGGTGACGGCTACTCGCTAATCATTACTACTCAGTAACTTACTCTCATTATTACTTTATCTTATACTGTTTCTTCCATCATGCCAATACTTTAGGGAGGAAAAACACACTATGATTTATTGAATACACTTACACGTTTTTTAGCTTCTCCTTTCTCCTTTCTCCTTTGGGCAAACCAGTTAAAAGCTCTCCAAACACGTACCCACAATAGGTTCCATTTACAGTGAGAAATGAGAAATGCCACAATTGCTTTGAGAGGCAAATTCTGGATCAATGTTTAGATAATTCAAATACAAATTATGATGATTGTAACAAAAGAATATGTATAACAAGCAAAACATAGCCATAAAATCTCTAATTCTATTATCATACACGAGTACTCACATTGACAGATTCCAATCAAACCTATCCAAGGACAAATAAGCACTGGTCCGAGTCCACAAGAAAACCGTCTTTATTGTCATTCATTTTCTGCTACAACATTTGGTTCTTCACCTTGGCAAAGATACTCGTCACACATGGATGCTGATCCCCAGTCCTTTCTTAGCCGCAGGATGTCTTCGGTGAAAGTGGAACCAGAGGCCCCAATGAACACACTAGACATGGCACATATGGTCTTGTCTAGCATAGCTTCCACCTTCAGTGAAAATATTCATAATGCGCATCAACAAAAGAAATTAAGAGTTGTCTACACATGTAAAGGATCAGAGCAAGTTGTAGAGAGGAAAGAATTATGCAATTAAAAATTTGCAATAGAAAATTTTATTATTAGCCACGGCATAATATTTTAGTGATTGCACTAAATTAACTGAAATTGTGACCCAGTATTCTTAAACCTTTATTCCCAAGCAGAAGCCAGTACCACTGCAGGACAACTAAAACCAACAAAGTAAGTTGAATATCATAGTTCCTAAAGTTTTTTTTTTTTTTTTTTTTTTTTTTCTATCAAGAGGATGACCCAAAGCCCGAAAAGCCTAAAGTTCTTAAACTTTCATTTTCCTGAAAGTAAAATGTTGACAGCTTGAATGTTACTTCGGAAGTTGTCTTAGAACTTTGGATAATCTCGACCTCAAGGGAGTAAAAAAAAGTAATTTTTTTCCCAGATGTAGCACACTTGAGCAAACAAAAAATGATAGCTTGATCAACAGATAAATATATATATAACCTAGTTAACAGTTTTATTTATCTAGTTGAAGCAACGGAGAATGTTTAAATCCACATAAAAGTAGAATGAAACACTGTCATCTCATCTCACCTGTGAATCTCCCTCAATACCATGCCTGTATAACAGAGCATCCCATTTTTCTGCTGAATTACGAGGTGGACGTATTACAAGAGGAACAGGCCTGCCGTTCAGCATAACTAGTGACTGAAGCAGACCAGTTTCACTTTCTGCTGCATCCGTAGAAAGATAAATGACAGGAGCATCAGCCCTCTCAATCACCCTCAAGATGCAATCTGCTGCTTGAGGAATGGGGTAGAAGCAACTCGGCTTCTTAGCATTACTGTAAACAAGAGAATGAATCATCAGAGACAACATGATGGTAGAAAACAAGGATGAACAAAACAGAATTGCATAATACACACGTATATTTGGCATTGAGCCATGAAATTGCAATTGGCAACTGACTTGTCAGAAAACAACCAGATCAACCCGGCAAAGTTTACAGCCCATATCATACTCAAATCATCAATTTTTTTATCAGTAGAAAAATAACAATAATAACAATGGAGATGGAAACTAAGTCTTCGTGTATTTACTTCTAATCACTAACTCATCCATCAATTTATATGGGTTAACAAAGATTACAAAAAAGGAAAGAAAGGGTATACCAGAATTTCAAAAACCCGTGTCTTCGAAAGTGCAATGCAATGAAGTTCCTTCCCAAGAATGTCTGAACAAACCGCTGAGCAGTAAGCCTAATGAGGCGATTCGGTTCAATCAAAGTCTTGCATTTGTGAGCAATTGGGCCACCCGGTTGCATCGCCCATTCGCGTTCAAGGTTAGCATAGAACACATCCCCAATTGCCATAACATCATCATCATAGCTGAACTTATCCAACACATCCTGAACCGTCTTCTTCTTTGGATTCCCGATATCCTCATCATTCCAAACAGCCTCAGGTTTACTCATCGACAAACCCAACGAACGCAGCTTCTTCAGCCGTTCATCATCCAGAAAACAAGGCTGAGGCTTCCAAAAATAACACAAGAACTTATCAATGTGCAAGTGACCCTTCTTCACATCCGAAAACTCGTCAAACGAAACCACCACTTTCTTCCCCAAGCACTTGTTAATGTGATCGATGTCCACAACTCTATCGTACTGGAAATCCACTTTGGAACTAGGAATCACCAAAACCCTATTTAGCAAGGCAGCGAAAAACATGTGTTTCTCCAAACAAATCAAATGGTTCGACATTTGACCGGAAACGCATGTCGCAAGTAAGAATTTACCATCCCTAGGGTTCCACTCGATGGTTTTCCTCTGCGACAAATTCTGATCCACCGTCCTGCACCTGTCGTAAGCAACGCCGTTTAAAGTGGCGTTTCCGAAGTCGAATTCAGGCTCAATTGAGTTCCCCGCGCCATGCGGATTCAGCAGAACCTGCTCAATATGGCGGTTGAGGGAAATTTGTTTGAACAACGCGGATTTGAGATCCTCCAACTGCTTGGGATCCGAAGCGTTGGTTCGGAGCGCGGTTAGGAGCCCTAGCTGCTGTTGGCGTAATAGGTTAATTGCGCGCAATTCGGATTCCTTCATTCGATCGGAGAGGGAATCGAACCTGAGAGAAGAGGTTGGGAAGAGGCTGTGGAAATCGGTGACGACAAAGAAGAAGAGGAAGACGAGGAGAGCTACGATGGCGATAATGTACTTCTTCTGGAGCTTGAAACTCACGCGGTGGAAGCGCGAGGAGAGATCTTCGACGTGGAACGCCGCGACGGCGGGCGGGGAGGGGGGTTTGCGGTGGTTCTGCTCGACGAGGTTCCGGCGGTCGTCCTCCTCGTCGGAGGAGGAATCCATGTGCATTGCTTTTACGGTGGCCACGGCGGATAATGAGTCAGGGAGCGAGTGGAATCGGCGACTCGTGTCGGTGGGGCGTGTCGAGTGAGCGAGTCAGGTGATAAACATGTGCGTCCGTGCGTGCGGAGAAGGAAACTGAGTCGGTAGTTGGAAATGATTGCTTATCAGTGAGAGTGGGCCCCACTGGACGTTACAACTAGAGGCTGTTGGACCGGCCCAACTACTGAAACCATAAAGTATTATGGGCTCGTGTTGTAGGACATTTGAGCGTTAACTTACATTAATTAACAAAGGCTTAGAAAAATTTAATTTTATACTTTCAACTTTTAATTTGCTACTTTCTTCTTCTTATTCACATAATTTTTTTTTTCTCTTTCAATTTTTACATGTTACCAAAATAGGTGGGGTGAAGGAAAAATAAGGAGATGTATGTAAAAATTGAAAAAAGGAGGAAAAATATGTGAAAAAAAGTACTAAATTAAATGTTGTGGATGTAAAATTAAAAAATTTAAAACAAAAAATTAAAAATATTTTAAAGTTTTAATTATTTTTTCTAAAAGAAAGTGTACTTATAGAAAAAAGGAGGTGTATATATCATTAACCATTAACAAATTTGATGTATACCTTTTAATCATGCTTATTACTTTACAATTAGTACGAGGTTAGTAGGAGATAATCGAAAGTTGCGTAGTTCATGTGGCTAGCAAATGATATTTGTAACTTTTACAGCTATTAACTGTCCCTTAAGCGCTAAGAAATGTCCCCTAGGAGGATGTCTTACAATCAAGAGAGGTTTTTGGAAGAATTTAAGGATTTATTAAGAAAGAATGAAATGAAAGGATATGATATAAGAAATAGATAAATTAATTTATTAATTTTTCTTATAAGAAGGAATTAAATATAACAGAATTTTTGTAAATTTCTGTGAGATCCACTTAGAGACATTTCTCTCTTTTTACTGTAACATAGAGCGAATTTCTATTCCTCAAACTAACATATTCATGTATATGCTTTATCCTTTTGATTATATTAAACAATTTTTTAATTTTTTATGTGAAATGTTTTTGAAACTATTAAGAAATAGTTGTTAATCAAATATATATAAAAAATAATAAATTGGCTAAGGTTCTAAATGTCTATTTACTAAAGCATATGAGATCAGTTTATAAAACAATATGATAATCTAGTTAACCTAATCTAAAAATTTTCTTCATTTACAAATCTTTCAATATATCTTTAAGGAAAGGTGAAAATAAAAACTTTTTTTTTCCTTTACGAGTTCATCGAAATACTATATATAACACATTATGATAAAGAGTAAGAACGGAGTTTTGGCAAGAAACTTCAAATATCTTGGATAAACAATCATGCACAAATTAAATAGTATTATTATTTGACAAAAAAAATTTTTATCATTGTATTTAATACAATCATATACTTAAAGCTTGAATTCAAGATTATTAATTAAATTTTTTAAAAAGTTTAGTGTTCTCAGCTGAGATCAGTATAAGAACGATTTCTTGATGAGATTGGTGAGCCTCCTCTACCTTGTACATTAGTCACTTCAAGATGAGAGTGATATTTACAAAAGAGACTCTGATACTTAAGTCAGTTCTTGTAGGTGTGCGAGTCTTGTATATGTAATACACGTACCTTAGTGCGAATTATGATTTTTTCCTTAAATAAGAGTGGGGTTGGCCATGGCCCAAGATTGACTATGGCCAAATAGATCGTGGACTTACTTGTTTAGCCGATGTTGTAAGATGACCGGTTGCCGAGCTGAACTTTGGTACCCAGTATGAGTAGTACAATTAGCATTAATAGAGAGTAAAAAGAAGTTATTAATTTATTAAAATTGTTTGAACATATAACTAAACAAAAAAGGCAAAATTCAACCACACTAAATTATTTAATAGTTTAAATAGTAAACTTAATTGCAAAAGTGTTGATTTTAATTTTCTTGTAATTATTATTTTTTTTTTAAAATTTTATATTTTCTTATATATCAGTGCCACATCACAATCTATATTATATCTCATCATTGTGTGAATGCCATATCAGTTTTAGAAAGCTCCTAGAGATTATAGGAGACAAGCAATTTAGTTTTTTTTAAAAATTTTATTTTTCTTATCCATTCTTATTTGTTATTGCCGGTTTAACTTGTTCTTGATTGGTTGTGAAATAATTTAATTTTTTGAAGTAACGAATTGATCACCTAACTTGTTCTGTAATAGATATTGGTGGGTCTGATTTTAATATCGATGAATCAAACCATTAGATTAGGCAGTAGACAGACAGTGAGGAGTGAGGACATGGAAAATAAACATAAAATTGAAAGCTACTTTGCTACGTTGGCTTGGTTGGTGCCTTCGCGATGGCTGCTGCATCATGCACATCCTCGTATAAGGTTTGAAATTATATGTTGAATAGAAAATACAATGAGAAAGGTAGAATATTTGAGCTTCCATTCAATTTACTAATTACTATATATACTATTCTTCCAATGACTTGTATTCGCACCCAATATAGTACCAAAAAGTCGTTAGTTAAATCCGTATATATTTATAATTTTAAACTAAAAATTAGAGTTTAATTGTATAGAATCGTGATTAAAAATATTATTTTAACTTTTATGTATACCTCGTCCTTCAATTATTTTGTCAAATATGAAGTGTGTAACCTCAAGTGTGTGGTTCAACGGTAGGAATTGATCTACGTTTAAGCAAGGTTAGGGGTTCGAATCTTATCTTGTGTATGCAGTCGCGTTAAATTTTGGAGCCAGCTATCCCGAAGTGCCGCTGTCGGTGGTTACTCCATGCACTTACCAAAAAAAAAAATCGGAAGTGTGTTGTGGCCATGCGTCATTCATGCCGTGCCTGATCCACTACTTGTACAGTTGTACTCCATAGAAAATTAAATTGAGGACGAGGTTAGTGTTATACGTATCAATTGGATTTCATTTCACTACAAGTATGATAATAATAATAATTAATAAACTTATATCAACATCTTATGCACCTTTATGATTTTTTTTTTCTAGAAGGAAAAATAAGTATTAAAAAAATATTTTTTTAAGTGTATTTTAGAGGGGAAAAAATGATGTAGATCTATAATATAAAATTAAGAATTTTATACCGGCAATCCTGACGTCACGTTCACGGGAACAATGTTAATACAGAATAAAAAAGTTAGATATGAACGTCCTAGAATACATTTGAAAACGAAAAAAATAATTGAATTTTCTCAGCGATTCCATGTGGATGATTCATGATTTGGACGTCAATTAATACGATTTAACTTCACTTCTTTTTCTTCCGAGTCACCTTAATCAGAAGGTTAATAGTTGGTAAAATTCTCAAACAAGAAACCTTGCATTAAAATCTTTCAAGACTTGCAAAGTTACACTTAAGGAGTTAAGGTAACGTCTCCAACTAATTAACCAACTGTGTACACTAAGAATTAAATCATCTGTCTTATATTTGTGTTTGTGTAATATTATGTTTTAAGAAAACAGGACATAGTTTCGGTTATTAAACGAAAATTAGAGCATGTAATAATTTCAATCTTGGACAATGCTAGAATGAATCTTTACGTTCCAACTAGGAAGAACATGTGACACCAAGAAAAGCCAATTGGTGGAATGGGTCTGCATGTGAAACCTTAGACCTAGCTAACTACCTCCAAGGCTGCACCAGAACTTTTGTTTTATAGTTCTTGTTAGAAGTTTCCACTTCACATCACTTCTAAATTACCAGTCACTTCTCCATAGACTCAACCGCAACAGTTTCATATTTGTTTCTTATAGAATACCATATTACAGAAGCAAAAATGCAAGTTTTCTAGTGTTTTGACTTTTGTGTAGTTTTCTATTCTTCTAAACCAAGTAGGTCATTAATGTAATTTAAAAAAAATGAAAAAACCAATCATGACATCAAATCTTTCATGATAAATGGCATATAAGTTATCACTTAATATTCTCCATGTAAGTATATATTTTGAATATTAACACAATATTTTAAAGTACAAGATCTTAATTAATTTTGATGATATATGGTAACAAGACTCCCAAGTCAGCTTTCTATTAATTTTTGTAGCTGAACAAAATTCCATCTAATCACTGCATAAATAACAAAGATGATAACAAAGACTCATTTCAAAAGTCAATGTTTTTTGTCCCATCTAGTCACACATGATGGGCCAAACCACCAAGTTAGAATAGTATTCATTTTCTTTAAGATAAAAAAGAACCAGCTGGGGCCAATGAGGTTACTTGACATATCTTTCAAGGAAATAGGCAATTTAAATCCTATCTCCCTTGTGGTTTCTCTTAACTAAAATCAATCCACAAGAAGCAACATGGCTTCTATTCTCACCTTCCTCACAGCCATTGCTTTTGTGGCTCAATCATTTCAAAACTACATGATCCAGAGGCTGCACACACTGTACAAGCATTATGGATATGCTGGTGCAGTGAAGGAAAATGAAGAGCATGAGAGTGATTATTATTGTTCAGTGTGTCTAAGCCAAATTTGTAAAGGGGAAAAGGTTAGGTCTCTTCCAGTATGCAAGCACAGATATCATGTTGATTGTATTGGTGCTTGGTTGAAGAACCATACCACATGCCCTCTTTGTAGGAACAAAATCACTGACCAGAAACATAGACAGGTGAAGAATTTAGGAGAATCAATGTTTAATCTAATGCAGAGTTTCTCTGATCTTTTGGTATCTCTTCTCTACATCATTCTTCCATCTAGCATCACCCAGAATTTCCCTTTGGTTCGTTGAAACTTCTCTGTGCACATAACTAATACCAGTATCAGTCGCATACTTGTTTGTATATGTAACTATGTATGTTTAGTATGCATAAATTAATAAATCAGGATCACTTCCATTCATGCAATTGCTAATATTTTTATTCCTTGCTTGTTTGGCCCTGGGAAACATATCTAATTGTTCCTAATCATGCTTGATTCCTTCAATTTTTGGGGTAGTAAATTAAGAAAGTCGTCACAATATGATTTGGAACTTTGAAAATATATAAATGTATTTGCTTATTTTGGGAAATGCTAGATGTAGTTCTTATTCTTGCTTTAGAAATTTAGTTATCGACAAAATTTTGTCTGTTATAACTCTTGATTTCCTATTGGGAGTAGAGAACCCTCACATCAATTCAATTTCATCTCTTATTTAATAAGTTAATTTAGTGAAGAGACCAAAATTTGTGATTTATAATATATTTCATTCTATAAAAAAAATACACAGAGAATTTTGTTAATATTCCTTCTCTCATTATGTATTTTTTCATTATTAGGTGTCTAATAACATCTGAGGTGTTAAAAATATTTTTCTAAAATTTATTCTTCACTTGTAAAATTTGTGTGTGTGTGTGAGAGAGAGAGAGGTGTTTTAGGAAGTTTCAATGCAACAGAAGAGAGAATATAACATACAAAGACTCGTGTATGTTACGGTAAATTTGTGGAAAAGGCTTAAACCGAAACCAATGACATGTTTCAAATTATTTAAATAATTAAACTCCCAAACCAAGCGAAACATGCATATTTGATTTCATATAGGTTCCTTCGAAAACACGTTAAAATATTAACAAATAAAATTTTAGCTAAATATTCATATTTAGTCCTGTCAAAGAATTAATTCTGAATATATAATTAAATTTTGAATTTTACAAATTTAAGTAACTTTTATATCACATGAAAAGTGTAACGACCCGCCTCATCGTCACACAGCTCACAACACTCCAACACCATACAGAAAAGAGCGTGCATATATATAAGCAGCTAAAATATATACACAAGGTCTAGTTTGAGACTAAAATAAAATCAGAGTACGAATATACAAAAATACATCCAGCAATGCTACATTAAGTAGCTACATCAGCAAAAACATAAAAAATAACTTCATCTGCCAGCAGTATACACGCCTCAAGCACACCAACCTATCCCTGTTCTGCTCCCATACACAGTATGATCATTGCAGTTCAAACTACATGGAAACAACAAAGGATAAGCTAGTAAAAAGAATCAGAATATATAGACATATATATATATATATATATATATGTACAACAATTAGAAACAACTACAACTTATCAACACATCATCTAGTTCAGCAATCATCAGCATACAACTCATCACATATACAACTCACATCATTCAACAAAAACAGCAGTAAAAACACAAATGCGTCGTCACGCATATCAGCTCGGAGATCTCTTACAACAGCTCAGCCTTACGGCCTACAACAGTTTATATCATCATACAGCACAACACAACATACAACAATAACAGCATACAGCACAACTCAACATTTTACAACACAACTTAAACATCATAATTCAGCTCAACAATATTCATCAGTTAACAGCTCAGCTCAGCATATATCAACATTTAAGCTAAAATCAGCATATAAGTGAACATCACATCCGCGCTCGGCGCACTCATGGTCGCGCTCGGCGTGACCCAACCAGAGAGCATCAGGGCTCAAACGCACCCGGGCAATTCCTATTGCGCCTGGTGTGCTAGGAGGCAGACACCCTAGAAGGTCTCATACCCAGCGTGCCAAACCCGCGCTCGACGCAAGGTAGGCAGAGACCTCCCCAAGGTCTCACGCTCGGCGCAATTACCAATTGCGCCCGGCGCCACCTCTGACAGAGACTCCCCAGGAGTCTCCACGCCTGGCGAGACGTAGTCACACCCGGTGCCACACCAGAATCCCAAAATGCCAAGTTACTTCCTGATATCGTGCCCAGCGTGGTCCAACCACGCCCGGCGTGAGCCATCCAGGGGCATCCATCCTCCAGCTCGCCCGGTGCACACAACTTGCGCCCGGCATGCTCGACCAATGGAGCCCTCTGATGGTCACGCGCCCGGTGCCAAGAATTGCGCCCGGCGTGATACCAAACAGCAACTCCCCAAGTTCAAAAATTTCCTTCAAAACCTGCAAAAATCAGCACCCCAAGCACATGCAATCGGCCCAAAACATCACATTTTCATTAAACAACCCAAAAATCCCAGCTTTTTCAACATGCATCCATCAATCATCAAAAACCCCAAATTTTCATAAAACCCCGAAACCCCAAAAAATGAAGTCTCTTCAATCTCAGCCAAAATCATCAAACATTAGACCACAAATGAGTTTCTAAACACATTTTCCACACAATACAGCCAAGAACTAGCTTCCCTTACCTCGGTGAAGAATTCCGAGCTCCGGGAAGAAGAACGAGAAGAGAATGAAGAAGAAGCTTGAGTAAATGAAGGAGGAGAAGAAGTCTCAGCAAGAATCTCCAGCTACACAGCATCTAGAACAACCAAAAAGGGAAATTCGAACAAGGTTCTGAAAAATGGGAGAGAAAAGAGTATGAGAGTGCAAAATGAAAGTGAGGGAGAATGAGAGAAGAAAATGAAAAGTTGTGGGGGTCTCACAACCTCCCCAACAACAGGAATTTTCGTCCCTTAAAAAAGACTTACTTGGAAATAGAAAAGGGTATCGCTCCCTGCACTGCTGCTCAACCTGCCAAGTAGTCTCACCAGTAGTTACATCCCACAACACCTTCACCAGAGCAATGGACCTGCCCCTCAGCTCTTTTAGCTTGTGATCAATCACAGCTACCGGCGACTTCTCAAAAGTTAGATTCTCCTTCACCCGCGCACATCATCCAACTCAACCACATGACCAGGGTCATGGACATACTTCCTCAGCTGGGATACATGAAATACATCGTGTAGGCTTGAAAGAGACGGTGGCAAAGCCAACCGATAAGCAACCAGACCCACACGCTGTATGATCTGATAGGGACCAACAAACATAGGTGTTAACTTCCTGGCCTTCAGTGCTCTACCCACACCAAAAGTTAGGGTCACCTTCAGAAACACATACTCCCCTTCGACAAACTCCAAAGGCTTTCGCCTTTTATCAGCATAAGATTTCTACCTACTCTAAGAAGTCTTCATCCTCTCCTGAATCAGCTTCACCTTCTCAGTAGTCTGTAGGATTAGCTCCGCTCCCACAACCACTAACTCACCATCCTGATACCAGCACAGAGGGGTCCTACATCTTCTACCATACAAGGCTTCAAACGGCGTCATCCCAATACTAGCATGAAAGCTATTATTGTAAGTGAACTCCACCAGCGGTAGGACCTCCTCCCAGCTTCCCAAGTGGTCTAACACATAAGCCCTCAGCAGATCCTCCAAGGACTGGATTGTCCTCTCTGACTGGCCATCTGTCTGTGGATGATAAGCAGAACTCAGCCTCAGCTTCGTGCCTAAGGCCTAATGTAGACTCTGCCAAAATCTGGAAGTGAACCTCGGATCTCTATCTGAAATAATACTGGAAGGCCCCCCGTGCACCCGTCCTATTTTCCTCACATACACCTGGGTCAGCTTCTCCAAGGACCACTTGATGTTGACAGGAAAGAAATGCGCTCACTTGGTCAACCGATCAACAATCACCCAGATAGCATCACTATTCCTAGCTGACCTAGGCACCCCCACAATGAAATCCATAGTGATACTATCCCACTTCCACTCCGAAATCTCCATCTACTGCATCAACCCACTCGGCTTCTGATGCTCCACTTTTGCATTCTAACAGGTCAGACAAGCCGCCACATATTCAGCAATGTCTCTCTTCATACCAGACCACCAGAAAGTCTTCTTGAGGTGTTGGTACATCTTAGTCATACCAGGATGTATGCTATGTCTACTCTTGTGGCCTTCCTCCAACATAACTTTCTTCAGCTCAGCATCATGAGGTAGGAAAATTCTGCCCTTAAACCTCAAGAACCCATCTTTGTCCAGCTCAAAACCAACAGCCTTCACGGTACCCAACAACCCAAGAAGCTTCACTAGCTCAACATCTTGCAACTGTTTCAGTCCCACCTGCCTCAAGAACTCACTAGCTATGGAAATCATCCCACAACTAATGTGATCCTGAGCTAACTCCACACAGAGATTCAGATCTCTGAATTCCTCCACCAGCTCCAGCTGTTTCACCATCATACTAGACATGTGGATGAATTTCCTACTAAGCGCATCCGCCACAACATTGGCCTTCCCAAGATGATACATCAACTAGAAGTCATAATCCTTCAGAAACTTCATCCACTGCCTCTGCCTCATGTTCAGCCCCTTCTGATCAAACAAGTACTTCAGACTCTTATGATCACTGAAGACGTTGAGTCGAGCACCATACAGATAATGCATCCATATCTTCAAGGCAAAAATAATAACTGCTAACTCCAAGTCATGAGTAGGATAATTCCTCTCATGGTTCTTTAGTTGCCTTGAAGCATATGCCCGTACTTTCCTATTTTGCATCAGCACACACCCCAAACCCTCATGAGAAGCATCACAATACACATCAAACAGCTCACCAGAATCGGGCAACACCAGCACAAGAGAAGTAGTCAACCTCCTCTTTAGCTCATCAAAACTTCGCTCACAAGTATCTGTCCAAATGAACGACTGCTCCTTCCTTGTTAACTGGGTTAGAGGCGCTACTATCTTGGAGAATCCCTCAATGAACCTTCGATAGTAACCCGCTAGACCCACAAAACTCTGAATATCAGTGACAGTTCTTGGACGCTCCCACTGCAACACCGACTCCACCTTAGCTAGATCAACAGCAATCCCCTCAGCTGAAATCAGATGTCCCAAGAACTTCACTTCTTTCAACCAGAACTCACATTTTGAAAGCTTGGCATACAACTGCTTCACCTTCAAAATCTCTAGCACCAACTACAAGTGCTCTCCATGCTCCTCTAGGGTCCTTGAATAAATAAAGATGTCGTCAATAAACACCACCACAAATTTATCCAAGAAGGGTCGAAGATCCCGCTCATGTAATCCATGAACACTGTAGGGGTGTTGGTCACACCAAACGGCATCACAACATACTCGTAATGATCATACCTAGTCCTGAAAGCGGTCTTAGGTATGTTACCCTCCTTCACCCTAATCTGGTGATAACCTGACCTCAAGTCAATCTTCGAGAAAACCAATGCTCCCCTTAATTGATCCATTAAGTGGATATCGCGCCCAGCGTGGTCCAACCACGCCCGGCGTGAGCTATCCAGGGGCATCCATCCTCCAACTCGCCCGGCGCACACCACTTGCACCCGGCGGGCTCAATCAATGGAGCCCTCTGATGGTCACGCGCCCGGCGTGATACCAAACAGCAACTCCCCAAGTTTAAAAATTTCCTTCAAAACTTGCAAAAATCAGCACCCCAAGCACATGCAATCGGCCCAAAACATCACATTTTCATCAAACAACCCAAAAATCCCAGCTTTTTCAACATGCATCCATCAATCATCAAAAACCCCAAATTTTCATCAAAACCCCGAAACCCCGAAAAATGAAGTCTCTTCAATCTCAGCCAAAATCATCAAACATCAGACCACAAATGAGTTTCTAAACTCATTTTCCACACAATACAGCCAAGAACTAGCTTCCCTTACCTCGATGAAGAATTCTGAGCTCCGGGAAGAAGAACGAGAAGAGAATGGAGAAAAAGCTTGAGCAAATGAAGGAGGAGAAGAAGTCTCAGCAAGAATCACCAGCTACGCAGCACCTAAAACAACCAAAAAGGGAAATTCGAACAAGGTCCCGAAAAATGGGAGAGAAAAGAGTATGAGAGTGCAAAATGAAAGTGAGGGAGAATGAGAGTAGAAAATGAAAAGCTGTGGGGGTCTTACAAAAAAGTTTTATAATAAATTAGTATTTTAGTCCATACAATATATTAAGTATTAAATTATTTTACATAGTTATAATTTATAATAAATAAATATTTTAAATATTTAAATCATAATATAATTTAAAATTGTAATAAATAAATAAATATTTTTAAACATATTAATTATATTTTAAATTTATAATAAACAATTGATTATATCTCAAGGTTAATTTTAATTTTGATATTGTTAAAAATATTAAAATACAATAATTAAAATTAAAAATATATAAATTAAAAATATGAGAGGTTGAGAAAAATCTTTAAAAATGTTATCGTTTAAGAAAATCATATTGGTAAAAGAAAAATTTTCTAAAAATGCTT